CAGGGCACCCCTGGCTCCTTGCTCAGGCAGCGTCATGCGGGCAAGGTAGTCCATCTCCAAACCATGATGTTGCAGGCTGGCTTTAAGCAAAATTTTGCTTAAATTTGCAAAATTTTGCAAATATTACTGTAAAATCAGGGGATAGAGACGTGAGCAGCAGGCGGTACGTGGCGGCAAGGTCTCCTGGTCACAGGTCTCAGCTGAGGCTGTTGCTGTCCCACCTGACATTCGTGTGATGACTTTCGGGGTCAGTCTGAAGCAGCGACACCCCTTTGTCTGTAAGCGCCAGGGTGCAGGACGGGGCTGCAGACACCTTTGCCTGGGAGAGAAGGAGCTGGCAGCCACCCCTCCCGCGCAGAAGATCTTTAGGCGGGAGGAAGGTTTATTATCTTTGCTCGGTTTGCTGGAGGCAGCCAGCCTGGGTTTGCTGGGAGGGATGTCAGGATGCGTTGGTGGGCTCCTGCACCCCCCAGGCAGCTGGTTTTGGGGAGGATGGGGGGGTCTGAGCTCTCTGCTTTTTGCAGACTGGACTGTGCAAGGGCAGACTTCAAATTTCTCCTTCCAAAGGAGAGGCGCAAGTGTCAGAACAGCCCCCTGCCTGTTGCTGTGCCCCTGGTACACCCCAGGGACCAGCCGCGAGCTCTTCCCCTCTTATCCGGCCCTTGCCTAAAACAGAGCCCACTCCGCTCACCCCAGGTGGGACTCGAACCCACAATCCCTGACTTAGAAGGCCAGTGCCTTATCCATTAGGCCACTGGGGCTCTGCAAGAAGGCAAAAAAAGTGTAATTTCAGTATCTAAAATTCGAGAAAATAATTTGCTTGAAGTGGTGAATGCTCTGCTTGCTACTCTGATATGTGGTGAGCCTGCTTTTACTCTTCCCTTTCCCCCAAAATTATGTGTTCAGCAGCAGAGGTGCTCTCCTAGAGCAGAGGGCTAGATGAAGGGGACAAAGAATAAAAAATAAAAGCTGACAAAAATCTGAACTTTTAGTTTCTCTCAAACATTAACAAGAATTTTTCTGCAAAATGATTGACAGGCTGCCACAGGGTATCACTAGGTTCAAAGGAGATGTTAAATATTTATATTTACATTTTTAAACCATTTTTATTCAATATAGCTCATGAGTTTAGCATCATCTACAGCTGCCAACACCATTTATTTAAAAAGACAGTGTGCCAAGGGCTTTGATCTCCCCCCTTCTCAGTCAAAGTCTGCCTTCCTGCTCTGTTTTATAGTTGAGTGTATCTTTTTCTGTCGTAGGCGTTCACGGTTCATTTTTTCCACCCTAAAATAAAACAAAAAGATCCTTTAGTGTACAAAGAAAATATTTAAACAATATTCAACTTTGAGCATAGCTATAATGTGGATTCGATGAGCTGACAACTGTCCACAGACAGAAAAAACAGTCTCGGTTCTTGGGCTGCTACCCACAAAGGCAGGTCAGAGCTAATGGATCAGCGATTCTTTTTCTTTTTAAAAAGGAAATTCAAATGAGTATGAACAAGATTGTTTAAAGAGAATGTTAGTGAATGTTAAATGAATCCATCTCAAAGGCCATTTCCATAAAGATACCTCTCTATGAGTTTCTGTGTTGTCTCCTTGGACACCACCTTGGGCTTCTCCGTAGCTTCCGTGACCATGGTTCGGATTTTTTCCAGACAGATCGCCAGGTTCCTCATTTGGTAGCGACTCTCTTCAGAGCTCACAATCAGCTCACCCGCTCGGTTTATCTTATTCCTGTGCTGGAGAGAGGAAAACGCAATGTGATCACTGAAACCTCGTTGGACTTGTCACGTTCTGGCTGAAAGCGGGAAATTCCAACAGTGGCTGGAAGGGGGGCAGTTACCATCGATGCCATTGTTTGTCTTGTGGCTTCTGGGATCCAGTCTGCTGACGCCAGGTGGAACCGAACTTCTGCCTTGCTATTCACTGGGAGGAAAAACAGGATTTTATTTTCAATATAATGGCTTGCCCTCCTAAGTTTTATGAGATAATTCAGTCTGTTCACTGCTGGCTTTGAACAGAGGATGATTCCAGTATTCATTTCCTGAGAGATCACAATTGTTTTCTTGCTCTATTTTTACATACCACTCTACAAGACAAACTCTAAATTTTTATGGATACTCTCTCACGGTATTTGCCTTTCTAGAACACCACAAGATGTATTGCTACTGCCAGTCACTACCTTATTTTTAACGGCAAAACTGGAATGATTTTTAGTTTGTTTGAATTAAGCTGAGAATTTATTGCACTGTAAGTTTCAGAATCCAGTTGACTTTGATGTTTGATTAATGAAAACAGATTAAACATTAGTGGTGCTTTGTGTGATGTGTGTAGCAGCAATGATCCTGGTAAGAGTGTTCCTAGGAGAATCCTGCGCGGTACCACTGGTCTCAAGCACTGTGAAGACTTCAGAAGTTTTGTTAAAAGGCAGGAAAATCACAGAATCACAGACTGGTTTGGGTTGGAATGGACCTTAGAGACCATCCAGTCCCATGGGCAGGGACACCTCCCACCAGCCCAGGTTGCCCAAAGCCTCATCCAGCCTGGCCTTGAACCCCTCCAGGGATGGGGCATCCACAGCTTCTCTGGGCAACCTGGGCCACTGCCTCACCACCCGCACAGGAAAAAACTTCCCCCTAATATCTCATCTCAATCTCCCCTCTTTCAGCTTAAAACCGTTACCCCTCGTCCTATTGCTACACTTCATAATGATAAATTAGCATTGGGCAGCACAAAGATGCTCAACTTCAATCTCCCCATACTTCACCACAAAGTATAAAGCAGCAGCTTAAAGATCAGCATTTTTCTTTTCCTTCCAAGTCTCTTTCTCACCTTTATTGACGTTCTGCCCCCCGGGGCCGCTGCTCCGGCTGTAGGACACGGTCAGGCGCTCTGGAAGAGAGGAGTGGCACCGGCTGAACTGGGACCCATCCAGGTGTCCTGCAGCGAGCAGCCGGGACAGGGACAGCCCAGGCTGCAGCCTGAGGGCTGCCAGTGACTTGGTGTGGGGTCCCTCGGGGTCCAGCCCCCTGCACTGAGCACAGACCCAGAGCTTCGGAGCCGAACCCCCTCTGGGGACCCCTGGCCCAGCTCTGTTCCAGGGGGAGACTCACCCATGGGGATGTCAAGGGCGGCCGGCTGCGTCTCCTCCTGGAAGACATGGGGAGGGGGGGGACGGCGTCAGGACCC